CTTGAGGAGAGATAGGAGATGAAGCCGTTGATAAAGAGGATAAAATGAGAAAGACTTAGGAAAGTGGGTTGTTTGAGGAGGACATCTGAAGCAAGCTTCAGCAAGAAGAGGGTCGTTAACTTTGTCCTTTGAGGATACTTACGAGCTTATCACTGCAGTAGAGGGAATAAGATAAAAGATTGAGGGCAGAGATTATTAAGAGATAAGGAAATGGGGAGGGAAAGGAGACTTCTTTCAGAATTTTGGGCAGTGAAAGGAAGGGAAAAGATTATAAGTCAATTGTATTTCAGTGAAGCTAGGGAGGGGAAAAGGAAGAATAAAGAAAGCATAGCTATGAGCACCACAGGGTCAGGCCAGCAGGTCATTCATGGTAGGTTTGCTCAAGTCTTTTTTCTTTTGTGGTGCACGTGACTGGAACTCCGAACGTGGCTTGTACGCTGACCAGGTGTTTGGCTCTGGTACAGTTTGGAATTTCCAAAGCCTCACAATAAAGCTGTGTAAGTTAGAGAATTGTTTATGTTAATTATTGAAAATTATATTAAGGATTTCAAATACTTAAAGGGGAACCCTCTGGCTGTACATTCATCTGCCTTTACAGAGTTTGTCTTCACATCACACTGTAATTGCCTCCTTGAGCAATTAGAAATGGTGGAGATAAATATTCATTTATTGGCTGCTCACCACATGGCTTTAGCATACAGTCATAGAAGGATGCTGTGCTGTTCTGCGAGTGTTAAGCCTGGTTTTCATAAACCGTTCAAGTCGTACTGGCTTTACTGTGACAGAAAGGAGTTCTTTTTTTTTTAAGATTTTATTTATTTGAGAGAGAGCATGAGCAGGGGGAGGGGCAGAGGGAGAAGCAGACTCCCTGCTGAGCAGGCTTAATGTGGGGTTCAACACAGGGCTTGATCCCAGGACCCCAGGATCATGACCTGAGCCACCCTGCTGCCCCTAGAGTTCTTAAAGTGAATTTGAGGGAGATTCTTATAAATAGATCTCCAGTTTTGCATTAATTTAGACTTAGGCTTTGATATAGGTTCTGAATCTCTATCTCACTACAAGTTGCTCTTCTCTTATGGAAAGAAGGAGAGATTATTTTTTACTTGGACTGTTTCACAGTGAGTTTAGCAGTCATTTAGTAGAAAAGGTTTGACATACTCTACGCTTATAATTTACTTTCTTCTCTTCTTAACCTCTTTTGGGTCATTATCCTTCTGGTTCCCCCTCCAAATCAAATTACAGTATATCATTTAATTGCTTTTTTCCCCCTGTGCTTTCTTTTCAGCTCTTTGCCTTCCCACCTGAACATCAGTTATGAGGACTTTTTCTCTGCCCTTCGTCAGTATGCAGCCTGTGAACAGCGTCTGGGAAAGTAGTGAACCCTGGTTGTGTAATTTGATTTCAGGCTTTTGGAGAAAAGGACTCAAGTGACTCTGATGTTTACAAAGCACCTATGAAACCCTGTACACACCTAGTTCATAATCCTCATAATTTATCAACAAACACAAAAAAGTGTCTTACTTGAGAGTAAGAGTATGTGTGAGTATGAGTGCGTGTGCGTGTGTGTGTGTGTGTGTGTATGTGTGTAAATAAATTTATAAATGGGGGAAGTATTGGAGAAGGAAAGACGTAGACCTGCAGTTTGAACAAATAGCAGTGTTTTAGGAGCTGAAATTTCAGATTGAAAGGTTTCAGCCTCCACTACTTCCCTGTTTTTGTGGGGAGCAGAGGGGGTGACTAGAGCTACTTGGTTGTTGTTTTGGGGGGAGGGGAATAATTTTTGTTCAGTCTTTCCTAGTGACCAAACTTAATTTTTAAGAATAATATATTGACTTATTAAATGGAACCGTTTTGAGTTTGAGGGATCTCCAGAGGAATGGAGCTCTGTATTGGTCACGTGTTAAAAGCTTGCTCAGCTTTGGAGCGGAGGGCATACCTATTTTCGGATATCCGTCCATCTTCATCTCATTGTAGTGGAACAATGTGACTTGCAAGTGTTGCTCTGGTGTCTGTTCTGGGTTGTGAAGATCATCTGAAAAAGAACTCTCACTACATTCAAATGCAGAATTTAAAAAATTTAAATACTGTATTAGACAGTCAAGAAAAGGTGAAAAGGTTATAATCTTAAAAGTAAAGTTGGAAGATTTCCTAAAATAGGAAAGAAAGTGACTTCCTTTTTTATTCGGTGAGCAGTGTGTACTGAAAGTTGGTTTAAAAAATATTTCCATTAACTATTTTTATTTAAAATCAGCATTTGAGGGAAGTTACCAAGGCAGCTCTTTTCTTCAAAAGTAGTAACCTGTTCCTCTTTGGAATACCACATTTTGGGCCATGTTAGTACCCAGGATTCTTATTCATTTTACTCAGTAAATCCTGATGGTGACTTTGCCTAAAAGATCTTTAAGTAAGATTGAGGCCTGTGTAGGTAATAAAATATTACCAAAGTCCACAAAAGTAATTTAAATTAATTTTACATGTTCTCTTTCATGACAGAGAATTGCTCTGGTTCTGTTATTTTTTAAATGAATAAGTGATTTTTTGATAGGTGTTTAATATTTCTTCCCTCACTGCTGATCCTTGGACAGAAACCATTCTTTATATTTGATGGACCGTTTTCAGAAAAATCTTAAGTGTACAATAGTTGTCTAAAACTGGAGTAGCTTAAATACTAGGTCTCAGAAGTCTGAAAAATAGCAAAGAAGACTGGGTTTGGAAAGCAAGGTCTGAAGTTGCTTGTCATATTCTGAAGCTATGAAGAATAAAATGTTTCCACTTTGGATTACAAAACCCCATTTATGATTTTAAAAATTACACTTGAAATAAAATGATTAAACTAAATTTTGGTCCAGTGACATTACTTTGCACTTCATAGTCCTTTGTAGATTATAAGACTTTTTTTTTTTTAAGTCTTAATTTATTGCTGAGAGTTTTGTGTGAAACTGTAGCATATCTCTGAACTTGACTAGACAGCTTCTGATTTCTGTCCCCCTGTACTGTGATCCATGTTCTTTTGAGGCTTTTTTGCCTTAGTCTGAGACTGAATTTATGTCTTTTATAAACATGATATGTGTCTTTTATAAACATTCTGGAATATGTATGGCTTTAATGAATTAAATTTAATGGGCCTGATTGAAGTGAAGGGATTTAATATTTTTTAAAATGAAGTTAGTCAAACAAATTACCTACTGGGATATAGCCAGAGCTGCTAGAAGTTTAATGGTTGAGTCTTTGTATTTCTCTCCTTCCATTCATAGCAGTGTAGTATTTAGTATTATTACACATCAAAGTATATCTATAACCTGTGACCTGAGTCTATTATAGTCCTAGGAAGAGATCCTCAAAACAAGTTGCTAAAGATTCTAAATTCAGATACAGGCATTCCAGATCCTTCTCCTCATGAGTTTAACCGCTAGTATCAATCTCCACAACTTGAATGGCATCGGTCATTCTGTAATTCCTGCCCAAATCATCACAGTGCATCATCAGGGCTCCCTTTGCACTCCCAAGAAGAACTGATAACATTAAAGAAAACTGTTGTCTGTCTTTATGTGTACTCAAGGTTTTTGTCTTTACATTGTTTCTTCTTGACATTCCCCACAATGGAAAAATCAAATTAAACCGACTTGAAGGATGGCAGCTTGGAGTACAGCAAAAACTTGGAGTGTTTGAATTCCATTCCCAGTTCTGGTTGTGTTTTGTTTCTCAAAACTGCTTACTGTTACAACAAAGTTCAAAAGCTGCTTTTGATGTGAATACCAGCATTCTGGTATATTGGGGCTAAGGCTTCAGAATACCTGTCTCTGAGAGGAAGGTGTTACAATGCCAATGAGCAGTGCCAAATACACTGTGGCATCTACAGTTTAATCTTTGAATGTATGTTACTTGATTAGCTCCCTCCTCCCATGTGATGGTACCATGCATAGAGTCAAACCCTTGTGCTGTTTTGTATGGCTGTAGACTTTGGCAACATGTAAATAATGTGTAAAGCAAGTTTTTATGATTAAGGAATCAAATTTATTGAATTTTATTATTGAAAGTTGAAACTTAACATGTATGAACAAAAACAATAAAAGAATATACTCTTTTCATGGACTATAGTATTATGTGAATGCTACATTTATTCTAAACATTTAGGGCCTGCAGAGATATACTGAGAAACTCATGACTGGATAGCAATACCAATTTTTTTTTTGGGGGGGGATGGTATGTTCTTGATTTAAATATATTCTCATTTTTACCAGGTTAAACATTTGCAATCTTAATGGTATTTGCTTCTTGCTAGATACAGCAAGATAAAATTCAGCTTTGCCATTGCTAGAGTTGTCAGAATTCCACAATAATTAAAATCTAAATTGATTTTTATTGAATATGGAATGCCAAATTAAAAATGTATATGTGTACTCTTTTAAGAAATTTAACAGTCCTTGTTAAGCTAGAAAATAGAAAGGTCAGAACCCTGATTTGTCTTACATTGCATAGAATATTAGCTTTCTGACATGTATCATATGATCTCACTGATATGAGGAATTCTTAATCGCAGGAAACAAACTGAGTGTTGTTGGAGTGGGGGGTGGGGTGGGAGGGATGGGGTGACTGGGTGATAGACACTGGGGAGTGTATGTAAGCGCTGTGAATTGTGCAAGACTGTTGAATCTCAGATCTGTACCTCTGAAACAAATAATGCAATATATGTTAAGAAAAAAAAAAAAAAGAAGAAGAAGAAGAAGAAGGTAGCAGGAGGGGAAGAATGAAGCGGGGGAAATCGGAGGGGTAGACGAACCATGAGAGACGATGGACTCTGAAAAACAAACAGGGTTCTAGAGGGGAGGGGGGTGGGAGGATGGGTTAGCCTGGTGGTGGGTATTTAGGAGGGCACATTCTGCATGGAGCACTGGGTGTTGTGCACAAACAATGAATCATGGAACACTTCATCTAAAACTAATGTTGTAATGTAAGGGGATTAACATAAGAATAAAAAAATTAAAAAAAAAAAAAGAATATTAGCTTTCTATGTATCTAATTGCAAGACAGTTTTCTATGCATAATTTTTATCTGAAATCAGGATTTTCAAAGGGTACATTTTAACTTTGGTTAATAGGAAATGCATTTAACAAAAATTAGGAAGAGTTCAGTATAGTTTGAAATAAAACCCAGGAGGGTGCCTGAGTGGCTCAGTCGTCAAGCGTCTGCCTTCGGCTCAGGTTATGATCCCGGGATCCTGGGATCGAGCCCCACGTCGGGCTCCCTGTTCGGTGGGAAGCCTGCTTCTCCCTCTCCCGCTCCCCCTGCTTGTGTTCCCTCTCTCGCTGTGTCTCTCTCTGTCAAATAAATAAAATCTTAAAAAAAAAAAAAAAAAACCCAGGAAAAAAGATTAATGTCAGCATTTGTCCAAGAATCCTACTTGATAGGCCATAAACCATGATTTAGTGGGAAAAGTACGAAAAGAATTCTCTTATGGTTTAGGAAAAATACACAGTAATTGTAGAAAAATAGAAATTTCAGAGAAGCAAAAGTAAAATAATCTCTAATACCATCACTCATTGGTTACATTTTTGGTGACAATCCTAGAATTTTTTTTGTACTTCTATTTGAAAAAAATGAATTGTACTGTAACAGGCTTAATAAAGAGATTCTTTTTAAGCCACAAACTATAAATTGAGAGTCTTGCCTTCCGTTTTGTATTTAGTTATTGTGTCTGGAAATAAGCAATCACAGGAGCACATGAAAATAAAATGTTTGGAAGAAATTAAAGGCCACATTCAGTTACTGTTAATGAGTATTTAACCTTGGTCCAAGTTCTTGTTTATACTCCTCTTTTTTCCCTCCATCTGTCTTACAGGGATTCAGGACCTAAAAATAAATTTTAGCATCTGGATTCATATATCCAGATGAATGCAAAAAAATAAAAATTGGATATACTCCCAGATCAGACTATTTGGGTTATCTGCTATTGATCATGTTTATACTTTTCCATCAGTAATAGTAATAATTTAAGTTGCTTTAATGAGGACAAGGGAAAAATATGTTGTTTGGCTCAAAGAAGGAAAGCCTGAGCTAAATGAAAAGATCTGAATGTAGGTTAGTCATTAACAGCATAGTTATACTTGTACTGAGTAATATTTCCATTCTGATGAAGATTGACTTCAACTGCCTACGTCTTACGGATTTGGATCGATGAACCCTTCCTTTTTTTTTTTTAATAATTGTGTATTTTATCGTGTTATTCCTCGGTAACTGTTACGCATAACTGCCTTAAATTTCTTACTTTTACAAAATGTAATGGAGAAGTAAATAGTAGTAATAGTAATCAACTGTTTTCACCAGAGAGGAACCAGTATTTTAATTAGATTTCAGATAATTAGAAAATGGGACGTCAAGAAAAACATGGAAGTTAACTGGAGATGTTGATAGCATTTGTCTAGTGCTGGGGTTCTCAACCGGAGTGATTACACCCCCCAGTGGACATTTGACAACATCTGGAGACATTTTTGTTTGTCACAAGAGGGGGAATACTACTGGTATCAAGTGGAAAGAAGCCAAGCTAGGGGTGGTGATGTTGTCCAAAAGATGCTATAGCACAATTTAAACAACAATTTGAGTGTTTCGATTTGAATCTATAGATGGTAGTTTGGGGGGATGAAATAAACATTCACTTTTATGTGCATATTTTAATTATGTGAAATATATATGTTAACTTTTTTCTACTTGTGAGTTCTAGTCATTATTTTCACATTTTCCCTCGACGTTTTGAGACCCCAGTTTTCCAAAGCATGTCAGCTTGTTGTCTAAGCTTATTTGAAAGAAAGCAGTGTTTTTTGAAAATGGTAAATGTTATAAGAAATCCCATGCTTCAAATTACCCATTGTATAAACATCAAGTTAGCAATTTCTTTCCTTCATCCTGCAGGTGGTTGATTTCCACATTATAACCATTTACATTGTTCTGAAAAATGCTTGTAATATATCCTATGCTTGTTTTTGAGGTCATATTTCCAAGAATAATGACTAAACGTTAAATTTCTTTTTTTTAATTTTTTAAATAATGTATCTGGTAGCCCTTTTTTAGTATTCTGAAAGTCATATGGAAGTGGTTTCAATCAATGTGATTTTCCTAAATGTTACCTGTGATTCAAATATTTAATTAGAGTGCTTCTCAAGAAGAGATTTTGGTTGGCCTGGAGAAAGATGTCTTTTCTGAGGGATAATTACAGAGAAAGAAACCTGCTTACGTGGGATATATATGTATATGTGAAAAATAGTCCTGACAAGTCTGTGACTGACTTTGGAGTTTGAGATGCAACACTAAATATAAAGCATTCAGGAGATTAACAGGAATGCACAAAACATCTCCAGGCAAATGATTTCATTAAATATTAATTTATGAGTTCCTTGGACGCAGAAGCTCATCTATACATAAATATGCAGAATATCAAATTACTTGCAAAATCAGACCCTATCAGCTGTACTCTGAGGTCCTCAGCTTATCAGATGGGTAAGGCCAGCCACAGTGCTCACAGCATATCAGTTGGTGATGCTTTTAATTAATTTAAAAGAAAATCCTGGCTTCCCTGCTGCCTACTCTTGTGGGCCCAGGAAAGGGAAAGTGAAGGTAACTAAAGGAGTGCGTGTGCTTTGGCCTGTGAGTTTTTGTCACTGTAAGAGAAGAGAAGAGCAAACATGAACTAGTACTACTGCTTGATTTCTGAACTGGTGATTATATCCAAGAATTCTCCATATTTTTTTGATCTAGCATGTCCAAAAAGATGGACATAAAATTTCATAGTTAGGCCTGGCATGGGGAGGGCTTCGCCAATCTAGGGGTCAACGTCATTTTTTGCACCTCAAAATCTCTGTCTTCACCCCGTGTGAGGAAAAGACATTTCTTCTCCGCATCACCACTAACGCCCACGCTGTACCTCGATACCGTCTCTTCCTCCCTTCAGGACTTTTACTTTTTCCTTCCCATTTCCAGTCTCTGCTAAATACGGGGGATTCTCGCCCTCTCGCCCTGAGTTACAAATGCGCTCAGCTTTTCCAGTCCCTCAAGTTATGGCCTCTCTCTTCCCTCCACTGCTCACCCTCTTGAAAGCCTGTAACTGCCCATCTCCTTATTTCCTTGGAATTCCTCATCCCTTTACCCCGCTCCCATTCCACTTCTCAGCGTCTAACTATGTGATTTACTTCTATTTTTTGTAGCTTGCCTCCCTGTGGAGTGTAAGCTCAATCGGGGCAGGAATTTTTGTTAGATTTTTATTCACATCCCAAGTGCTCAATAAATATTTGTTGAATGAATGAATGAATATCTACTTTAAATTTGTTTTGTTTTAAGTAGTCTCCCCCCCCGCCCAACGTGGGGCTTGAACGCACGACCCTGAGATCAAGAGTCACATGCTCTACTGACTAAGCCAGCTGGGCACCTCTCTACTTATTTTTTTAAATCTAACTTTTGCCAACCTGCTCTGTTAAAACAATCATCCTGAAAGTGAACTAATGTCAAATCTCATAACTTACTGTTGTATTTTACAGTTCTGTATTACAGTTGTGCTTTTTTTTTTTTTTTTTTTTTTTTTAACATTTCCAGTTTCTGTAAGTCTACTCTCCCATTACTTGGGGTTTATGGTTCATTTGTTTAAGTTTTGTGCAGTGGCAGTGTCGTAGCCAATGAGGTTTATCCGAGGCGCGATTATTAATTGAAAACTTTTCATTTGTTTTCCTAAGAAAATGAATCCTAGAAAGACATAGTGCTACTTCCTCAACCTGTGTTTGCCATCTCTTCTATTCCAGGCACTATGCTCGATAACGGGACGTGAGGACGGACGACAAGAGGCCCCACCTTAACACATACAGTGTGAGGTGAGTCTTGCCAGGGAGGAGCACTTTTGCCCCAGACACAGGTCAAGATGTGCTGAGGTCGTGGGAACTGGACACCTAGACGGGTCCTCAGGCTGCAGTGTGATGAGCAAAAGCATGGTCACTGTACCATTTTGGAGTAAGACTACCTACTCCAGTGCACTGGTTGCAAGGACAGGAAAGAATTCCAAGAGGTGGCGTCTGAGCTGCTATTGACGGTGAAGGCAGCCGGGGCAAGTACAACATCTCAGGAACAAGAAGAAGAAGCGAGCATGGGAGCCAACAGTTGATACTAGAATATAAAGTGTGAGGCAGAAAGTAATAATAGGGAGGCTCCAGAGGACCTCAGTCTTGAATGCTGAGTTTCAAAGCTTGAACCTCACCTTTCATGGGTGGTAGGCTAGGGAGTGAAATGGTCAGAATTGCGCCTTGGATCACTGAGGCAGCTGCAGGAAGAAGAGACCTGGGAGGGACGATATGGAGAGACAGAGTACTCTGGGGCTAGCGAACCAGTCTTCAAGCCCTTCTCGTGTCTACGTGTGTTCTTTGGACAATCTCACCCGTTCTCATGGCTTCCACTACCACTTTAAATAAATGAGTCTGTATTTTTACCCACAGTCTCTACTGAGTCCCTGGTGCCTAATTCTACCACATGCTGAACATCTTCACTTGAGGTTTTCTGGGCACCTTACCCGTCTCACCCAGTCTTCACTTATACCCCTTGCCCCCGCACACTTTCTGATGGCTGTCTCCCCTGGTTCATCTTAAATCCACCCAGTCATCCTCTCTTCAACATCTCAGATTCACATTTGTAATAACTATTTCCTTTTTTAAAGATTTTTATTTATTTATCTGGGAAAGAGAGAGAATGAGTGAGAGAATCAGACTCCCTGCTGAGCAAGGAGCCCGATGCGGTGCTCGATCCCAGGACCCTGAGATCATGACCTGAGCTGAAGGCAGACGCTTAACCGACTGAGCCACCCAGAAGCCCCTGTAATAGCTATTTCTTTGCTCCCAAATTCACTTAATTTTGATCGATTCTTCATTCCCCAAACTTCTGGCTTTTCCGTTTCCATGCTCAAGACTTGCTAAATCATATGTCTTCTTACTAAACCATTATGCTAAACTCCCAATAATTATCCAGCCTGACATTTTCCTTCCTATGTGTTCTACAGACTAGTATCAGAAGAATGTTCTAAATCATTGTTTTGCTTTCTTTGTTCCCTAACTTAAGGCCTCCTATTTTCTACTCAGTAAGTTCAGCTGCTATACTGACGTTCGAGACTCCTCTATAGGAGTCCTATAGGAGTCCAGGCATTGTGTCTAGCTATATTTCCTCTTACTTTCTTTAAAAACACCCAATAGTCCAGCCATGAGGTACCACTTTCTATCTCATTATGACCCTTAATGACCTCTTATTTCCTTGCGTTTGCTCAAATTGTTCCTTTTAATTGGAATACCCCCCTTCTTTTTCTGCCTGTCACAGTGTTTTTCGTCTTTCAAAACCCATCTCACTGGTGCTACTTCCTCCATGATGTCTCGTCCATTTCTTCAAACTAGATACAATCTTGTCCTCATCTGACCGCCCCCCACCCAGAGCATTTTTCTCCCTTTTTGCTGGACTTAACTTTACAAGGATATAGTAATTTGTGTTTTCTTTTTGTCCTGTACAAATGTAAGCTCCATGAGAGCTGGGACATTATCTATCTTGCTTAACCCCATACCTGGCACATACTAGGTTCTCAGTAAATATTTTTAATGAATTATAAGTATTTTGTGAACAGAGATTTAACGTCATTTTTCTACTTCCTGCCATATATAATATGGTGCTTGGCATACAGTAAGAGATCAATAAACTGTTTAAAATAACTTGATGCCTTGGGATCTCCTGTGGATATACTACCATATTCATCTTTCTAAAACGTTCTTTTCCTATCACTTTCCTACCCAAAGGCCTTCCTCTAATCTACAACATATATATCCAAAATCCTGGATACCTAAGTCCAAGTTCTCTAACTCTTCTGAAAAGTTAATCTGTTCATTGATGACACCATCACTGTCTATTGGTGTGCTGGTCTCTTTCTTGCTCCCTAAGTAAGTCATGGCCAACTTCGTGACTGGGATGTCACTACTCCTTCTATGCCTGTGCCCTTCCGAATTCTATTCATCTCCAAAGTTGCATCCAACTCAAGTTTTATCTCAGTTACGTTGTCTTGCCTGAGCATTTCAGGCCACTTTTTCTCCTCTTCAGTTTGGTTTAGTAGAAATAGCAGGGACTCTGGATCCAGTTAAACCAAAGTTTAAAAACCAACTTTACTGTACGATTGTGGGCAAGTTACCCAATCCCTAAGGGACTCTCTTTCCTTATCTATACAGTAACAATGTAGTGGTCACAAAATGTGGCTATGGGTCTAAGGGAAACAGTATACCTCTGCATCTAGGCACTTGATACCTGCTAGTTTATCCCCCTTCTTTTTCCAGTCTTTCTTGAGAATGGACATTATTGTATTATTGGTCATCTTTTTTTTTTTTTTTGAGAGCAAAAACTTTTTCCCAAATACTTTCAGTAAGTTTTCAAACTTTAAAAATGTTGAAAGAATGGCACAACAAACACTCATATACTCTCCATTTAGATCCAACAATTGTTAAATGTTTTCCAGTATATGGTTTATCTATGAATCCATCTTGGGTGTAGATGGATGTATGTATACATACCTACACTATATGTGTGTGTGTGCGTGCGTGTGCCCATGGGTGTGTATACAAGTATATACACTAGTAGTTCCCCTTATCTGTGGAGGACACACCCCAAAACCCCCAGCAGATTCTTGACACTGGGGATAGAACTGAACCCTATATATACTATGTGCTTTCCCATACATACAAACCTGTGATACAGTTTAATTATATATTGGGCACAGTAAGAGATTAACAATAATAACTAATAATAAAATACAACAATTATAACAATAATCTGTAACAGAAGTTACATGAATGTGGTCTCTCAAAATACCAGTAGACTGACCTTCTTGTGATGATGTAAGATGACAAAATGCCTACGTGATGTGATGAAGTGAGGTGAGTGACACAGACATTGTAATGTAGTGTGAGGCTACTACTAAGTACTATTTTTTTTTTTAAGATTTTATTTATTTATTCATGAGAGACAGAGAGAAACAGAGGGAGAAGCAGGCTCCCAAGGAGCGGGAAGCCCGATGCGGGACTCGATCCCAGGACCCTGGGATCATGACCTGAGCCGAAGGCAGACACTTAACCATCTGAGCCACCCAGGCGCCCTACTACTAAGTACTATTAAGTACTTTGTGACCCTATGTCAAAACGACGACCTGCTGTCAGATCATGGTTAACTGCCAGGAACTGAAACTGATAAAATATCACCATGGATAAACAGGGACTACTATACTTTCTTTTGCTGAATAATTGGAGAGGAACCTACAAACATAAGACACTATACACATAAATACTTTGGCAAGTATCTCCTAAGAATGGAAACATTCTCCCACAGAACCATGATATTATTCTTACGATTCCCTGACCCGTATCCGGAATGCCCTAACTTTTAGTGGGCCTGGTATTTAAAGACCAAGAAATGGACAAGAGATGTGCTTATTTTTGCTGTCATCACTTCTAGGTCCTTTCAGTAAACAGAGCAAGAAAAGAAGTTCACTTTTTTTAAATCATCGGGTAAAATTGATATTTTCAGTAGCAGTGGGTTTGTTCTGCATCTTGCTCTTTTGACTTCTCCTGGAAATATTTCTTTGCTATTACATAGAAATCTTCCTACTTATGGCTAAATGGTATTGTGTGGTTTGGGTGTTCCAGAGTTAATTCCAGTAGCCCCTAGTGATAGGTATTTGGGTTGTCTAGTCCTTTGCTTTTACAAATAATACCACCTATATTCTTGGGTGCATATTCTACTCATGGAGATAGAAGTAGGGTTATGATTGCTGTGTTGAAGTGTAATGATTGTCAAATTCCCCTTCTTGGGACCTTTCACTTGCAATATATGAGTGCCTATTTCTTCAGAGTCAGTTGCCAACTTGTAGATTTTTGCCAATTCGATGGATGAGAAATTTTTTTGTCGTTTTAATTTACATTTTATGGTAGATTGTGTTTCCAAAGATGGCTGTAATAATGGTTCCCGCCCCACATGCTTTTTTTTTTTTTTTTTTACAATGTTCCCTTGCCAATTTTCCCTAAGGAAGTAGAGTCTGTTTCCCCTTTCCTTGAAACTGGGCTGACCTTGTGAGTGACTGTGATGAATCACCAGTATGTGCCAGAAGTGATGGCCTGCAACTTGCAAGTTTGCACCTTAAAGATCTCGCTTCCTTTTCCTTGGTCTCGGAGTCCTGGGATATCACACAGTGAGGTCTATCTTACTGGAAAGGGCCCGGGGAGGGGGAGGGAGGAGAATAGAGAATAACAACAAAATAAGTCTTAATACCAATTAAAAATAAAAACTTGCAGCAAACAAGGAATAGAAGGTCTCTTTCCTAATTTGATAAATAGCCAACATCTTACTCAATGGTGATATATTGCAGTATTTCCATTAAGACTGGAGAAAAGATAAGGATGTGTACTCTAGCATTGTACTGGTTTGATAAAGCAAGCAAAAGAAATGAAAAGAAGCACAAATATGGGAGAGAAAGAAGTAAAACTATCCTTAATCACAAGTGGCATAATTGTATAGAAAGAAAACATGACAGCACCTACAAAACAACTAGTAAACTAATAAGTGAAATTAGCAGTATCACAGGATATCATAAAACCCCAATTATCTAGAAATAAACCTATTAGATGTGCAAACCTCTACACTTAAAAAAAAAACACAGAACGTTGCAGACAGAAATTAATGAAAATCTACATAAATAGACAGATATGCCATGTACATAGATTGAAGGTCTCCCAAATTTTAAGATTTGAATTCTTCCCAAATTGATCTGTAGATTCAATGCAATTCCAATCACAATTCCAGGAAACTT